AGTGGTCTCAGCCTCTCACAGAACCCCTCAGTCTGTGGGCTTGTGTTTTAGGGATTGCAGAGAGCCCAACACCTGCCATCCAGTCTATCTCGGCATCGGCCCTCTTGAAGCAACAGAAACAGCGTATGTTGGAGATAAGGAAAAAGAAATCGGAAGACATACAGAAACAGTAAGAGTGGCAGATTTAGTGTTCCATGTCTAGGTCATTCATCTCAGGAATCTTCAGAATGGCTTAATAGATTTCAAAAATGCAACTTCAGATTTTGGTTGGCTGTAGTTTTAACTTGAAAGTTTTAAAATAATTTTATCGTAACCTAAATAGTATTTACAGTTTATATATTTCTAACTTATGCTAGTGACTCCTGAAATCAAATGGTGGAAATTAGAGTAGTTAGTGTCACTGTGGAAAAGGGAAAGGAATGTGTGGAAGGTGGACGAATTCAAGATCCCTGAATGGAAGTTTTCTCAGTAGTGATAAGAGTCACTGTTTGCAGACACTTAACGTTACTATGCAGTACCGGCCATAAGTACAGCATCTCATTCAGTCCTGTAACTATGAGTTCCATAACTCTGTAAGGTATTATTATCCTTGTTTTACCAGCAGTGTAACTGAAAGTCAGAAAGCTAGGATGTGGGAGAACCAAATTTCAAACTCACATCTGTTCTACTCCAGTGTTGAACAATTATTCTGTCTCACTTCTGGGCTGCTGGTTTCATGAAAAGGAAAGGCTGTTATAAACCAAGAGGAAATTCTTTGGAAAAAGAAGAGAATGAGTAATGAGTATGATCTTAGGAGGTTAGTTTGAGGTGCTGATGGGATGTCTATAGAGTATTCGTTGTGTGCCTATAGCCAGCATAAATATATATAAAAAGTTAATGGAAAGATGCATATTATCTTTTAATTCTATTTTTCCACAAACTTTATAAAGTTCCCTCATATATATGGACATAAAATTAAATATGGAGTTGTGGGCCTTGTGGGAAATAGAAAGCACCTGTCAGTTAGAAAGCATTACAATTTGGAATTTTTGAGAATTTTGCTAGCCAAACAAAATATATCTTTGGCAGGATTTTTAAGCAGTTTGCAAACTCAGCCTAGAGCTTGCAAGAGTAGGTTTGTAGTAGTGAAAAGAAAATGGGCCTGGAATTTACCTGACACCAGTCCTGACTCTGTCACTTATAAGCAATGTAATCTTGGGCCTCAGTTTTTTCATCTGTAAAATGAGAGGTTTGGACTAGATGATTTCAGTAGTTCTTGAAACCAGGTATACAACAATCACCGTGCAAGTTATAGTGCCTTTCTGCTAAGGACTTTCACATGTGTCACGTGTGTTA